AAAAAACATATCAGAATGAAATTGATATGAACGTGACTTTAGTTACAATTGTATGACGTTCAACTTTCTTCAATCTTGACTCTTGACCATGAGCTTAGAAATTGTCAAACAAAATCGAGCTTAGAAATTAACGTCTCTACTCTTTTCGGATTCTGGATTTGAGAAATGATTAAAATTTTAATGGGAAAAAATGGATGGACTTACGACGGGAAGAGGTTTGCAGCGGGAATTAGTGGCGCAGTCATTAAACTGCCATGCTGAACGGCCGTTACCAAACAAATAACCACCACCTCGGACCACCAACTGATCGACATACTTGAAAGCGATCCAGTGATCAACGAAAAACTCAGATGGATCAGTTGACGCTTCAAGCAATCCCCTGATAACAAAATCTACAGGTCCCTTACAAGGTCCGACGAACACGACGGAATCAAGCTTGAACTCCCCTCTCGGGATCCAAACCCTACCTCCGCCGTCGTGTTCACAAGCATCCTTCCATGCGCGAAGAAATGCCTAACGAAAACAGATCGGAGAACTTCAGAGGTGTAAAACAAGTGGAAATTTGAAGAACTTGATATGAATTATATGAAATGAAGAGAGATATCAGAATTAAGAATGTATATACCATGCTGTTATCGGTGATTCGATCGGGACGTGCACCATATGACAAGACATTGAAGGTTTTCAGAAAGTGAGGTCTCCGGGCATCGGCGAGAATCAGCAGGAATGGAAGCCAATGGATGAAGGAGACCATTATTGTTGATTTTTTTGCATTGATTTATTTTCCTGATTTCTTATGAACTTATATAGTAAATTAAGGTGTAAAGCTCCAAACTTTACATATTAAATTGCGTAAATTTAGTGTCTCTTTATCTTTTACTTGATTTACTCGATATTATATTTATATTGTAATATATGTTAGAGTAATTAAAAAACCCAAAAATAACTGAATCGTTTTAAAAAATCTATGGTCAACATTTATAACTTATTTATTAATTTATTAATTTATTAATTTAATTTTACATAGCTTAGAAGAAAATGATGTTTTTAATAGTTTTCACAAAATAGTCGCAAAAAAATAAAAATTTATTAAAATAGTCATCATTTTCGCAGATGAGCCGAAAATTACTGAATTGTTTATAAAAATCATATGGTCAGTATTCATAACTTATTTATTAACTTATTAATTTATTTTTAAATATAAGTATTAGCTTAGAAAAAAAATGACCATAGTAGTTGTTTTTTAAAAGTTTTTCACAGAATAACCACAAAAAAATAAAAAATGATTAAAAGAGATTGAAATCGGAAAAAAAAAACAAATCAAACAGTTTCTTAAAAAGGAAAATTTTAATTATTATAGTTATTTTTGCCACAGCCAAACGAAAGAGACGTACAGTGCTAGAACTGGTACATTTTTGTGGAATGTATATTTAGTAATCTTTTCACTATTTATATAAATATAAATCATATAGTTATGATGAGGATAATTGTAGAAAATACTCCAAAATCTTTTAGGTGTTTTAAATTTAGTATTCCTTACTAACAATATGTTATATCTTCTCATTAATATCCTAAAAATCGTTTGATTGATACTTGACATAATTTAAAAACACCATATGATGTGCTTGTAAAAGTTAAATACCTTTATGTGCAGATCAAAATGATTATTGAGAACATACTTGGAATAATGTAACATAATTTTATAATTTCTCTTTAATGTTGGAAATGACGAAACTCAATATGTAGATGCAAGTTCTAAATTCAACTAAATGTATTTTTAATGGATCGGTTATATAGAAGTTTGAGGTGTTTGCTATTAACTTTAGTTGTAATAGGTTTGCTCGAGCTATCTAGATAAGACAGTTAGGATATTTTATATGAACATGTAGAATAACTAAATCGAAAAAATTCGATACCACAATTGCTAAAAAAATAAAAATAATAATAATAAAGTTTCGAATCAATTAGAATAAGAGCAAATTACACGAATGGTCCCTATGGTTTAGGGTAATTTGCGCATTTGGTCCCTAACTTATTTTTTTAACTCGGAAGGTCCCTATTGTTTGCTTTTGTTACGCGTTTGGTCCTGTCATACCTAAAAATACTATTTTGTCATTGATTTTTTAATTTATTTAAATAAATACACCCTCAACCTCACCCGTTTCACCTTATCTTACCTACCCCATCATTTTTTCATATTTAAATAATAGTTTTTTTAGGTAAGACAGGTACCAAGCGCGTAACAAAAACGAACAGTAGGGACCAAGTGCGTAACAAAAACAAACAGTAGGGACCTTCCGAATTAAAAAAATAAGTTAGGGACCAAGCGTGCAAATTATCCCAAACCATAGGGACCATTCATGTAATTTACTCTTAGAATAAACACAAAACTATCATATGTGAGAAACTAGGATGATACAACTAGAGTCGATAAAAATCGATCTAACCCGTCAATCTAATCCGAACCCAACCTGAAATTAGCAGGTTGGGTTGAGATTTTCAACCCCTTTAACTTAAATGTAACAACCCGTCTAACTCATTTAATTAAATAGGTTGTGTTGGGTAAAAATTATCAACACGTCAACCCATTTAACTTTAATATACATATTTAATTTAATAATTATTTGAATATTATAATGTATTAATCAAAGTATTAATTTGTAAATTATAATGTTGTATTATTATTATTATTATCCATGTTTAATAAAATGCAATCCTAATTTACATCCTTTTTTAGCGCCTATAATACTGGGCACTCTCCAAAATTACTTTGAAACTAAACATTTTTAATGTTATTTGAACAATTCATTTATATTTATGAATTAGGATTGTGTTTTTTGTCATAATTATGAAGTTTTATTTACGTATGAAACTTATTTAAGTGGTATAATATTTAATTATCTAATTTATTTAATTGTTTTTAAATTGGTTAACCCAAATTTAACCCATTTATTTAATAGGTTGGGTCGGAAACTAAATAAATATGTTCACCCCATGACAACTCATTTATCTAAAATTTTGAGTTGAGTTAGAAATATCAACCCATTTACATAAACCGGTTGGATTGAGTTGAAATTTTCAACCTAATTATTAAATGGGTTGAACCCAAACCCAACCTAAATCGACGGATTGCTAGCTTTAGATACAACTGCCATGAAATATATAGTGGGATGATGTCATTAATTAATATACAAACAAATGGTCTCTTTAGTTTTTCATAACATCAAATATCATGCTCAAAATAATAGGGTTGAAAAAAATACATGTAACATATTACAATAAAAAAAAATATGATTGAGTTTTTTTTACTGACTTGTTTCATTGTGCAAGTCGACCACCGGATGGAGTTCGTCGAAAAAAGAACGTCGGCAATAGCATCAGTAAGCAACGTCGTGAACAGTGCGCAGGGTGGGAGGAATGTACAGCACAACGACTCTCTTTTGGTTCTTCCGATTTTTTGCAAAACAAAAAAATGTGCTTCTAGCTTTCTTTGTTTCATTAAACAAATTTGTCTTTGGAGCTTAAAACGTTTGGCCCACTTAAACGTAATGGACATTAGGACTATTTTAAATATTTTGAGCTATTTTGTATTTGGATTCATAATTTAGAAATAACCTATATATTTTTTGAGTAGCCCATTTTTTTCCGGGTAGCACAACAACATAAACCGAAATTTTTTGAA